CTTCTGTATTCAATAATCCAGAAATGAAACAGAATTAGATAGATTACATGATCAGTACGTACTGGTCCCTGCTGACAAAGGAGGTAACAACATTGTCTTTGTTTGTAAGGCTCATTATATTAAATGTATTTTAGAGGAACTTGGATTTAATTGGTAATCCAACTTATATTCGTAGTTCCCTTTCTAAGGAAGAAATTCTTCAAAATCATATGTCAGTTTTCAATATTTTTTAATATTCCAAACAATCAAAATGAATTTGAATTACCATATCTATATTGGATTCCGAAACTTCATAAAAATCCTTACAAACAGAGATGCATAGCGGGCTCCAGTAAATGTTCTACCAAGCCTCTTTCTTTACTCCTCACTAAGATATTAACAGTGGTGAAGTGGTGAAGGAGAAGCTTCAAGAGTACTGTGCAACAATATATTCGAGAAGTGGTGTAAATCAGATGTGGATACTTAAAAATTCCAAGGAACTTTTTGGAAAATTTGAAATCACAAGATTTTACCAAAATCAACAGCTTAAAAACTTACGACTTTTCTACTTTATACACAACCATTCCCCACGATAAATTAAAGTCCAGGCTTTTTGATATAATTGACAGCTGCTTTTTCAATAGAAATGGAACTCGTAAATATTCTTACCTTGTCATTGGTCATTTGCAAAATTATTTTGTTAAAAAACATTCTGATTGTACACACAAGTACTCTGAGGTTGACATTAAAAAGATGCTTGAGTTTCTGATTGACAATATTTATGTGGTTTTTGGAGACCAGGTCTTCCAACAATCTATTGGAATTCCCATGGGTACCAATTGCGCCCCGTTATTAGCAGACCTTTTTTTGTATTCATATGAAGCAGAATTTGTCCAAAATCTTGTACGTGAAAAGAAGAAAACACTTGCTGTGGCCTTCAACTCGACATTTAGATATATCGACGATGTATTGTCAATTAACAATGGCTATTTCCATTCTTCTGTCGATACGATATATCCTGGTGAGCTTGAGATAAAAGATACCACAGAGTCTGACACATTTGTTTCATATTTGGATATTTTACTTGAAAAAGACGTTAATGGTAATCTAACAACCAAGCTTTATGATAAACGTGATGACTTTAACTTTTCAATCGTCAAATTCCCTTACTTATGCAGCAATATACCTTCTTCACCTGCATACGGGGTATATATCTCTCAGTTGATTCGATACGCAAGAGCATGCTCTACGTATGTACAATTTCTAAAACGAGGTAAATTATTGACAAACAAGTTGATGAAACAAGAATATCAGCTGTCTCGTTTAAAGTCATCATTTCGTAAGTTCTATGGTCGATACGATGACCTTGTCAGCAAATACAATTTATCATTGAGTCAAATGCTGACTGACGTTTTGCATACTAATAGTTAGGTCATTATTTACACACTGAATTGTCAACGGATTTTCCCGTTATTTCCCAATCACGACAAGGAGCACACGGCGGGTGTGACCGGTCGGCAGGGGATGCTCACTCCTCCATGGCACCTGATCCCACCTCTGATGTTTAGAGGTCCGTGTTTGCTCTGCTCCTATTTTGTATTATTTAATGGACTTTTGAGCTTGAATACTGTTCGTTATCTCCATATATTTCATTCCAATGCCTCACATTGAGCATGAATATACTTAATTATTATCCATGGACTTATATTTAGAAATATTTTACTCTTTTATTCCTTCATAATAAAAAAAAATCTTGATTTTTTTTTCTTTACTTAAGAGCCAGAAATTTTAACTCTTATCATGGACCCAGACAAACCTGCTAAGAAGTTGATACAATGTAACCTGTGTGAGACTGAAACGGTACAGGTTTACTGTGATACATGTCATGTCAAACTGTGCAATTCCTGTATTGGAGAACACATGGCATCTGATGCATCCAAGAATAAACATGAAATTGTCAGATTTACATTTCAAAAATCAATTCCACTTTACCCCCTATGTGCATTTCATGACAAAGAACACTGTGAAATGTACTGTGACGATTGTAATATTCCTGTCTGCATTACTTGCATTACATCTTATCAACATTCAGGTCATAAATTTTTGAAACTTTTGCAAGTTCTGGAAAGAAAAAAACAGATTGTCAAAGAACAAAATGAATTAAATAAAGTAATATATCCAAAATATCATGAAATTGCTTCTAATGTAGAATACATAGTAAAGGACGCGTGACCTTGACATTGACGATAAAAACAAAGCGATATAGATACAACATTTGTTTTTCCGGCACTTATACTTTGCAGTTTTTTTCTTGCTTTACAGTGCAGTTGAATTGTCAAAACTTTGCTATATTCATATTTCACAGAAATCTTTTGTTTTGTGATACAATTTTCTTAAAAGAAACACATGGTTTTGACTCATTATGCAACTTTAAGATAATGGGCTCACTTTTGATCTCAGTCTCACTTTCTCATGATAAATTTCTTTTGTAAAAGTGAGGCCAAGATAAAAAAAAAAAAAACTCATCTAAGTTTTAAGGCCCCAAGCCTGGGCACGTTAAAGTTTTAAAAATAACAGATACTATACTATGCAATTTAGATAACATTACATGTTGATTTACACCAAGTTGACACTCGGGTCGGCAGCAGAGATTCGATCTGAGAGCGAAGAGGCCAGCGAAAAGGTGGGGGGGGGGGAGGGGGTGACAAGCCATACTCATTACTCAACTAGTATATAATATTATTTCGCATGTAATTAAAAAAAAATCCCAGGATGGAGAAAAAAGAGTGCTGTTGATATTACATGAGAAGTTTTTATTATGTAGAACGTATTAAGAAATTAATCCCTGCATGATGGTGATGATGATTAGTTGCCATTTTTGAGTTGAATAATGCACGTCTACTTATCATTTATGATTAAGATTATGAAACTGAAAATGATTTAAGAAGAGAAATTGAAACAAAACAATTTACGGTGGAATGTGAATATAAAGATTAAAATATGTCCAGATTATAAATTACTAGTAAACTGCTGGATTAACCCCCGTATTTGTATAATTTGTAATATGGACCTGTTCCAAAAATGGTTACCTGGTCATCTGGAAAGTGTAGGTCAGATACAGCATCAAAGCATGTCTAAGGGTGTGAATCCCTAGAGGTATTACCCATGCAAGTTTGGTTACCATAGGGCTTATAGTTACTTAGGAATAGACCTCCTCCAAAAACTTTAATCAAGCTTTCTTTAGGGGAGATGAATAAGAAATTTAAGAATTTTCTTAAAAACTGTTAAAGCTCTCTTAATGAGAGCAGTTTATTTGTGGCCTCCTTGACTAATTTGAATGTAAATCCACAAAGGGGTGTGGCTCTCCATTTATTGCTTTGTAACAAGTTTGTTGTAACAAAATTGTCATGTTCACATCATGCGAGAAAGGCAATGCATGTACAAAAATATCAATGAATGTTAGTAGAACGTACTGATTGCACATATATTTAAATACTCTAGCTACTAGACCATGAAGAATAAAAAAAAATGACATGCTAATAATACAGGAACCCAGTTAGTAGGCTATGAGATCAATGCATGAAGTAGACTTCGATACTGGTTGCTAAAACAAACGCCATTATAGTCTAGCTACAGCCAGGTAAATTATACCAATAAGAATCTTTTAAAACTTCTGAAAAAATTGATCTTTCGCGATTTAAGTATTTATCTAGATTTTTAATTTATCCATATTCATATAAAACTTTTGTTTATAAGCTCTTTTAAATATTTATTATACGTATATAAAATCTAGGGATGGCAACGAATATTCGAACATTCGAATATTCATTCGATGAGTTGATATTCGAATATGAATTTAAGATTCGAATATTCGGTGTTTTTCAGATTTCATAAAAAGAAGTACTGTGATTAACAAATTTTGATTAGAACAGTGTTGGAATTATCCCTGTTTAATTTACTAGCGATCAATTTCGATCGCCTGATTTCTTTCACTACTTTCTTATCTTATAAAGCTACTAAATTACATGTATTTTGTTTTGAGTAAGGTGTTAAAGAATTGTACAATAATGCTTTATGTATAATACAAAATGTACTTTCATAGTTTTTATTAGTTAGATACGATCGGATCTAGAATCGAGGACAACAAATGAAATCTAAGAATGTCTAAAAGGCGTGAAGAGTATACTTATCAAAATAAAATTAATGGATCATTGAATGAATGTCCGATAGAAGTAATCTGTAATTAATATTGTAAAGGGCTTAATTTCAGAATAAATATGTAAATTACTTGATTGTTTCGGCTTGTACATAATCCTGAATTTTATATTCATTATCGGGAAATTAGTTAATTACCTAGGAAAATTGTCTATGGAAATATTTGTTTACATTGTATCAAAGGTTATAATCATATTAATTTTCTTATCAGGCAGATAATTGTAATTCATTACACGTATTGAAATCTGAACAGTATACCGTTACGACTATCTTGCCTTTTGTAAGACGACTGGTTCCTCAGTTGGAGCTACTATAAATACACGTTTCATTTGTTAAAATGATACTTTTCTACATTTAAATCAATTTTTTTTATTTCAAACATTGACAAATATCAAATGGAATTTCTTATTGTACACCTACAAAAGTCTTCATACAATTTTACTTCCAATATAAGTATACCTACGCTAAAACTTTCATGAGAGTAGGACGATGCATATTTAAATTAAAACAGATTTTTTTTATCGAATATTCGAATATATTCGAATACTTTCATTGAATATTCAAATATGAATTTTTGACAAAATTGACATCCCTAATAAAATCCAAATACCTGTGGTACACAAAATAAAACTTTCTGTTGCAAAATATTTGCTTTCTTCGGCATCCACATGCAGATCTAATGATATTTCTACTTGATTATTATCTATGGACTTATATTTAGAATATTTTCTTTTTTTATTCCTTTATAATAAACAAACTGTTGAAATTTTTTTCTTTACTTCAGAGCCAGATATTTTAACTCTAATCATGGACCCAGACAAACATGCCAAGAATTTGATACGATGTGACCTGTGTGAGACTGAAACGGTACAGGTTAACTGTGAAACATGTCATGTCAGACTGTGCAATTCCTGCATTGGAGAGCACATGACATCTGATGCATCCAAGAATAAACATGAAATTGTCAGATTTACATTTCAAAAATCAATTCCACTTTACCCCCTATGTGCATTTCATGACAAAGAACATTGTGAAATGTACTGTGACGATTGTAATATTCCTGTCTGCATTACTTGCATTACATCTTATCAACATTCAGGTCATAAATTTTTGAAACTTTTGCAAGTTCTGGATGAAAGAAAAAAACAGATTGTCAAAGAACAAAATGAATTAAATAAAGTAATATATCCAAAATATCATGAAATTGCTTCTAATGTAGAATACATGATAAAGGAAGTAAAAAAGAAATATGATGATGTTTCAATAACCATAACAAAACATGGAAAAGAATGGCACAGAGAAATTGACAAAGTTGTTACAAAACTAACATCTGAAGTTGATGAGATGAAAACTAAACAGTTAAAAATTTTGCGGAGGCATCTGGATGAAATTCATGTGAAAATTTCTGAAATAAGAAATGAAATTGATTCAAATGATGTTGATGTAACCACCATGGATGTTTCAGAACTTTTAAGTTTTAAACTTAATGTAGAAAAATTTAGAAATCCTCCACAAAAACTTATGCTGCCTTTACCGAAATTCACTCCAGGAAAAATCCAAGACCTTTGTAGCATGTTTGGAACTCTATCATCAGGTAAACTTTCTTCAGAAATCATTACTACCATAAACACTGAGTATGAGAGATGCCTAAATAATGTGGCCTGTCTGAGTGATAAAAAAATCTGGACAAGCGGTGATGAGAACACCATAAAACTTTACAGTATCAATCAGGGCTCATTACTCAAGTCAATCACAACCAAGTCAAGATGCACACCCTATGATATAGCAGTAACAAAACATGGTTATCTTGTTTATACCGATCCTAGTGACAGAACTGTGAATATTGTGAAGAATGAAGAGATAAAGACTATCATAAAACTACAGCACTGGAGCCCTGGCAATATCTGCAGCACCTCCTCTGGTGACTTCCTGGTTATTATGACTAATATTATGATACCCTCAATATCAAAGATTGTTCGTTACTCTGGCTCTACAGAGAAACAAACCATTAATTCCGATAAGAAAAGTCTTCTCTTCTTATCTACAGATACTAAATATATCTGTGAGAACAGGAACCTGGATATCTGTGTGGCTGACTATGGAGCTAAAGCAGTACTCGTGTTCAGTAAGGCTGGATTACTGAGATTCAGGTACACTGGTCCAAAGGACCAATTATGCAGACCAAGAGGAATCACCACAGACAGCCAGAGTCACATCCTTACAACTGATTCATACCATGATTCTGTCCACATCCTAGATCAGGATGGACAGTTCCTTCATTATATAGAATGTGGATTGAGTATACCCAGTGCATTATGTATAGATGCAAATAATAGTCTGTTTGTTGTTCAACAGAAAAACAACCAAGTGAAGAAACTCAAATATCTGCAGTGAACACAGAGGTGCATTGAAATATGAGATTGTTCGTTAACTGCATCTAAAACATGACCATGATCACTGAGTCTGTTTTATGATTTTGACACATTATAATGGAACGCCAAATTAACATTCAAATATTTGAACCTATCTTCAAATGAATTGAATATAGATATAATTGAATTAAAGAAAGGTCTATTTGAATTAAAGATATTAAAGTGTAAATAATTAAACCTATCTTTAAATAATTGATCCTAAGTTTAAATAAATTAAACCTGTCTTTAATTTCATTAAAGATAGATTCAATTCAATTACAGATTGAATTTAACATTAATTACTTAAATGTAGGAGAGAATGATATAATTTAGATTCATAATTTGCTATAATGTATGGAATGTGCCAAATTAACATATATTCAAATTATAATATCTGTACCTATCTTCATATATATGTACCTATCCTCAAATCAATTTTACCATGGCCTAAAGAAAACCCCTTTTGATTTTAAGATCCAAATATCAAGGTCATAAATCCATACATTCTGTTTGCGTGTAACTATCATTTCCAGCAGATGTCTCAAAAAGCCTTTGAGCTTTTGCAATGGAATTTTATACACAACTCCCTATGGCCTAAAAAGATCTATTGATTTTGAGGTCAAAAGGTTAGGGTCATAAATCCATTCATTCTGTTTGTGTGTATAAACACTTTCGTTTCCGATGTGAAGACGAATAATGACCCCCATAGAATAATGACGGGGGGGGGGGGTCATTTTTCAACGACAAAAAATGACCCCCCAGTGGTAGAAAAAATTGATTTTTTGTAGAAAAAGAATCCTAGGGGTCATTTTTTTTATATGTGGGTCCTATAAAAAAATTGACCCCCGTTGAAAAATGACCCCTTTTCCAACAGAGTGCATGATACAAAATTTATAACAGGTTATTGATGCCATGGTTTGAACCTCAATGTTTAATATTCTTCTTTATGCCCTTTTTTTGACCAACACTGGATCAAGCGCGCGATTAAAATGCAATATTTACATTTGCAAATGTTTTCTTTTATATAACACTATTAAAAGCAACGCGTATCTATATCCGTATAAACACGGGTTCCTCGCGTCATAAACGTTCGACGTAATTTCTCAGTGACGTCATAAAGGGTCGACGCGCAATCAGAGGATCAAACACGTGCCGTTGGGTTTGAAAAGTAAAACGTTTCACGTTTTGAAGATTATAATCAGGCAAATATAAACTATGAATAAGTCACAAATGTAAATATATGTAATAAGGTATCATTTTAAAACATCTATCGGGCTATAAATATGGGTTGGTACGAGATCAAATTTACCATAAAGCCCTTCGGGTTTTATGGAATTTGATCTCGTGACCAACCCGTATTTATCTCCCGATAGATGTTTAAAAATGATACCTTATTTCTTAAGGTAGGTCGCGGGTTTGCTTTTGTCATCAATTTCGGTACACAATTTCGATGATTCGAGCTGTTGTTTTGTGCACATTTGATTATGACGTCAGTTACGTCACAAACGCGACGTTGCATTGCTTCCCGTTTATTTCTCTGAAAATTACTTTATCAATAGAATCCAGTTCGTACAAAGCGTAGAAAGTACATGTTATTGTCCGTAATTGTATTGTTGTATTTGTATGAATCCAGAGAATTATAAGTTTGAATTCTGCTCTGATTATATGTGTAATGTATAAGAACAAACTAATAAAACATAATAAATGCGATGCAAAATGCAAGGAATAATTTTTATCCCATGTTTACCCCTTTATCCCGTGGATATGACTCATTGGATAATTTTTTCATAATCCACAGTTGTGACGTCACAATGGTTTTTGCGTTAGCGCGATGAAGTAAAATAAAGTGGAGTCCTATGTAAAACATTGGTTGTGAAGTATTTAACATGGGATAAAAAGAATCTCCCATGATTTGTAGTTGGATATGACTTTTATCCAACTCGTTGTGTGTTTTTATCCCCTCGCCAAGGCTCGGGGATAAAAAACACACAACTCGTTGGATAAAAGTCATATCCAACTACAAATCATGGGAGATCCTATATATATTGCAAATGATACTAAACTGCTCAAGGTCAATCAAAACGAGTTAGTGTTAAATTAAAGATATTGCATGCAAAATGAAAGTTACCGTAAATTCCTCGGCCAAAAAAATTGAAAGGCTGTATGTATGCACGTAATTTGCAACGAAGGAAAGGTGCGTAATGCACCATGTTTGCTCTCACAGCCGAAAAAAACAAACAAACAAATTTGTTATTTTTAGGATAAAATCAATCCTCAACACTAAAAAGGATGAAATTTAACTACATGCATTTTCCTCTTTTTTTAAAAAATCAATTAGTATTTGAATCTGATAAAGTCGTTCTCTATATGCAGGCTAGCAAGGAATTGATTTATCATAGTGAAATGAATTAAACATGTTAAAATAAATTTAAACAGACACCCGGCATATCGGACCTTTATGACACTCAGAACAGATATTAATATACTACATGTATTACGAAATACAAGAATTAAGTACAATATTTTCTATAACAAAATTAACCAAAATGCAAGTATTTTACATTTTGCCGATGAAAAATCAATAAAGAAAAAAAAACAAGAAAGAATAAATGTTTGAGAGTTCGGGCTATATACTGAGTTGCGATTGATATAAAAAATACATTGCCGGTAACCCCCCCCCCCCCCCTTCCTCAGTAGTGGGGTGTTTTTTTTTTTTGTTGTTGTTGTTGTTTTTTTTGCTTTTTTTTTTTTTTACCGATTTCAAATGAAGTGATAAAATTCACGTGTTATACTTGAAATCCTAATAATGAACTTGAACATCCTAACAATACTTGTATTAATTTATTATCAATCGCAGTGTTGTCACTGCATATTAATTCTAATGCACGAAGAATGTTTATATCAATATACCGTTCATTCTGACTTCGTGGACAGAATATGTATTTCATAATACTAGAGTAGATAAATTGCTGTTCTTCCTAACACGTTTCCGCAATGAGTGAAATGCTGAATAAAAATTACAGTGTGCATCTAATACCCCATTCATACGACACGATTTGCATATCTTAGTATATTTTACACATATGTAAATTTACTTACTTGTGCAATTTTTGTCGTATGAACTGATTTGCTCATATGCAAATTCTGCACAGTTGAGTAAATTTACACCTGGTCAGGACAAGGTGCAAATTTACTTTTGCATACACGTCGTCGCAAATTATTCGCTCCCGTGTATAAAGTTTGTCGTATGAACACGCAGCAAATTTACTTATGTAGTTTTTCCGTCACGTGTATTGCATCAATCTCCATTTTAAGTGTTGTATATGCGTTGGCATGTAAAATATCAGTCGGTAAACATGGCGGCTCTAAAAAACGCCGATTTTCAAGGGTAATTCTTGCGCTACGTAAACAAACTTTGAAAGTGAATTGAGTTTCTGTAAGGGTAGATCTGTTGATGTATGGCTTCCAAAGCCAAGTCTTCAAAGTATATACGCTGGGTCGCCGAGATGTACTACTAGCATAGTACTTTCTTTAAATTGCTTTCTCCACTCTGGAAACAAGGAGCCATTTTCTCCTCTGAAATTTTTCAAATTTTCAAAAACGCCGGCATTGTGCACCCTTCTTGGCAAACTCATGTTTATGTCTCTAAAGATATAGCTGTGGTCGCAAACGCTCTGCAGATTCAATAAGAAGAACTTCTTCCTGTTCAAGTATTCTCCGTGTGAATGCTTAGGACCTATGATAGGAATATGCGTGCCATCAATCGCTCCACAACCGTTAAGCCCTTGATAACTTTCTTCATCCTTTCTCAGTTTTTAAACTGGGGCAGACTACTGGCAGATAAGTTGATGTTACAGGGATTTCAACAATCTCGTTTCAAGTCAGCAATTAGTAAATAGATTTCATATGACGCATTTTCCCTTCGAGTTATTTCCCTTGGCCGCCATCTTGGAGAGCAAACTGGTATTTGAGCAGAAATATAAGGGCAAAAATCTTACATGTAAAATTACAAACCTTTGAACTAAAGGAACCCTTTGTTAACATATATTCGTAAGAAAAACTGTGCTATCTATGACTTGTCCGCTGAAGACGCTAACCAGATGGTAACATCCACCTTCTTCACATCCAACGGCTCTTCTACAGTCTTTGGGCCGGGAACAAAGCATTTTCCAATTTCTCGCAAAATATTACGAAATTTTCCATAATCATTCGAAAATTCTCATACCAATCGTCGTCCTTTAAGTCATTAAGAACTGTTCTGTCGTACCAATCATTTGATCGGAATTCTCTTCTAGTTTCTTTGAGGAACATCCTAAAATTACTCCTATACCCAAATAGTAATGAAACACCCTTATTCTGTGAAAATTCACGTCTGAAGCGGTCCTTCTCCTTATTTTAAATGACAATTTAAGGATTTACTTATGGTACATAAATCTCGTCTGAACGCATAGCAAATTAACTTTTACTTATGTGTGTAAATTTACTCATCTGTAAATATGCACACATAAGCAAATTTTCGTCGTATGAATGGGGTAATATACCTTTTAGATCTTGTATATTCCAAATATAAAGATACTTATATGTAAACGCGATTACGTTCAATATATGACGTTTTAGTCATAAATAACACCCATAAACGCAATATTTTGGCAATATAAAAGCAAACTTTAAAATTATTTAGCAAAAAACTAGCGAGAAGACATATTGATTTTTTTACCTCAATAGTTTTAATTTTACCTCATCTTGATATTTTGAAATTTCTGAGTAATTCGTCTACGTCTTTAAAAAGTTATCCGACCTTTTCTGAAGAAACTCTTTCGGTAAAATTGTTTTAAAAACGTCATTTTCCTATATATTTCTATAGTAAAGCGTAAAAATAGTACCGAAAACTATACCGCGTTTACATTAATATAGCATTAAAACCACGTAGGCAAATTTAATAAAAAATTCAGATAAAATGCCGCAAATTCTAAGGAACATTAT